GTGCGGCGGCCGCCCCCTGCCAGGGGTCGAGGCAAGTCTCCCGGAGAAAGAGGAAGGGCCACCCCTTTAAAAGGGGCCGAAAGCTCGCCCCGAAACGCAGACCTCCCCTTTAAAAGTGTCCCAAGTCCTCCGGCTAAAAGAGGCCACCCCTTTAAGGAGTCCAGGGTTCTTCAAACAGCAGGCCGTCCCTTTAAGGGCTCGGGAGTTGGCTTTTAGTCTTCCACAAGCAGCCACTTCCCCATTAAGCTTAATTTAAAGGACTTCTTGCGTGGGGGGGGGAGGAGGTGAGAAACCCCACTCGCCCTAATTCTCCCAACAGCACAGTTCTCAGTTTGTCAGTGTCTGTTCAGCGGCTTCCCCTTTAAGGCTGGCGTTGTCGTCTGCTTAGTTCCGTTGCCACCCCTTTAAGGAGATTTAAAGGGGCCTCCTCTGGGCCCAGTTCCTCCAGCCTCCGCCTCTGGTCTCCAAGAAAGGCGCGAGGGGGGGCGGGGCCGCGGGGGCCAAACCTCCAAAGCCCCGGATGTGAGGCAACAGTGACGGGTAGAGCTTCTCTGTCCGCCGACATAAAAGTCTCTTCCTCCTTTCCTCCGTCTCTGTCTGACGTGTGCCTTAGGGTATCCAGAACGGCCGCTGGGCACCGGGGAAGCTCCAGCGTACCCTCCCGTTGTCTCCTTTGGAGTCTTGGGCCCCTTCTCTACCAGGACTTCCCCGCCCCTCCTCCCTCTTCCTCCTCAGCCTACACCTCCTTCCTCTCTCTGCCTCCTCCCACTCTCCGCCCCCTTCCCCTCACCCCCCACGGCCTCAGTTGTTGATAGGTTAAGAAGTACACGTCAAGGCGAAGGGCGGAGTCACACTCGGAGGAGAGGGCAACATGGAACCGCCCCCAAACCTTGGATTAGGTTACGTCAGGTTAGCTCCGCCCTTCCTCGAGTCTTGTGACTCGACTGGTTAGAAGTGGGTGTTTGGGGCGGTCCCCCGTGGCCCCGCCTCTTCCTGCTCTTGGTTTTATTGGCCCGCCTTCTGACGGCGTCCAGGAGTCGGGATGTGGGGCATGAGCTGTGGGGGCGGTTGGCCGCTGGGCGGCGCGAGGCTGGGCAGGTGGCGCTCCACAGCCACTTAACGTCGTCTCTCCCTTTCCGCCGTCCCGCGTGGCCCACGGGTGCCCTGTGCCTCGCGCACGCGCGCGGCGATGCCACCGCCCGGGTGGCAGCTCGGCGACCGCTTCGCGGCGTGGGATGACCCGAAATCGCCGCGTGCTTGGCGAGCGCTGGGTGCAACCGCTTCCCGCTACCGCTGGGTTGGATGAGAGGGTGCTGGCCTGCGCTCTCTGAGAGCTAAAAAACATCTTGCATTATGTGCCGGGCGCTTTCTCACATTTGCTAACAATTCTACGAGGTAGATACTGCTATGAGCCCCATTTTACGGAGAAGGAGGGGAGTTGACGAAATAGCGGGTTGTTAGTTTCCCAGCCAAGATTTGGGCTCAAGAAGCCTATCTCTAAGGCTGGCCGGTTAGCTCAGTTGATTAGAACCACAGTGTTGA